GATTTAAAGTCAGTTTCATAAAATGGAGCCCATACCTGACATTGATATCAGGCCTAGGAATCTATGGCTAGACAGATCACAGGTCATAGGGGAGAGCCTAATACTATTATTCTGCTGAATAGATATAGTATTAAACTAATTCCTGATGACTTATTGTTATGCTCATAGATTAATGCAGTCCTCAACTCTCACCAGAGAAGCTTCCTTATGCAGCAGATGGTGATTAACACAGCAACCCACAACTGCCCAACATGCAAAGAATAAGAGACTGTGGAGTGCTTATCTCTGAGTAGGATACCAATATCAAACTTCCACCTCCCAAGGCCCAAGAATTATGGTGGAAGAGGGGGCAGAAAGATTGTAAGAGCCAAAGGTGGTGGATGACCACAAGGAAACGGGTTTTTCAGACAGCTGACCAGTTACTCATATGAACTCACAGCAATGATGACAGCATGCACGATGTAAGCCCAAGCCAGATAAAATCCCAGCATAGATGTGGGGAAGTGGGAAAGAAACTCCAGGCCAACTTGAGGAACTGTTGCCAACCAATGGTTGCTGGAGGGGGAAAGACAGTCTCATTCAAGCTTGAGACTCTTGGTAGCTTAACCAGGCCCCACTGGATGGACCAATACTGAAGGATATTTGGGTACACAAATTTGAATATATATATAATACAATTGGGCAAGGGGTAGTAAGGGGATACAGATAGGGGAGAGGATCTAAATACAATCAAAATATATGAAATTCACAAAAATGCAATTAAAAAAAGAAAGCAAGGGAAAAACAAAAGCATGGATTATATATTGTCCGAGAGCAGAGCAGAAATGGGAAAAGGAAGACCTGTCAGGAGGTCTTTGTGGTTCAGATAAGAAAGGAAGTGCCTCAGAGTGCATGGCAATTATGGCTAGCAAAATTTGGGTGGGTGAATGGGGCTAGAGTGATGGCGCAGTGGTTAAGAGCACTGGCTGCTCTTGCAAAGGAACTGGGTTCAATTCCCAGCACCCACATGGCTAACAACCATTGGTAACTCTGGTTCCAAGGGGATCCAACACCGTCTTCTGACAGCCTTGGGCATTGCATGACACAGATGTACTTAGATGCATGCAGGCAATATACTCAATACACCTAAAAATAAATAAATAAATAAAATGTTAAATGAACCCATACATAGTCTTTACTGAAGAAATCGACATGCTAGGTCAGTGCTCTACCTGCTGAGTCACATTCCCAGCCCCCAAATGGCATTTTTTAAATGGCAGTCTACAAGCTGGCTTTGCAGCCCAACGGGCATACCTTGAAGTGGCGCTCCACAGTGGACAGGAAGCGCACATTGTCTGAGGCCTCCATGTGGAGCTTGAACAGTTCTATGAGGACAGGCTGCACATTGGCCACCAGCATGGATTCTGCCTCCTTGATGATATCAAAGACCTTCTTCACAATTGGAAGCTTCGTTTGCTCATAGAGTGCACTTAAGGTCGCATTTCTCTCCCGCCAGAACTCAATTTCAGCCAGGGGACCATTGCCCTGAGAGAGATGAGGACACACATATAGCACTCCTTGTTACTGTGGGCAGACACTAGCTTCACTTCTACCCTTTTCTCCTCCCCACTGCTCCAGACAGGGGCCAGTCTGAACAAGGGCTTTAGGTGGGCTCTCACTTGGAATGGTCCAATTAGAGTCTCAGGACTCTACTTGGGATGTAAGACAAAGATGCTGGCTTTCCAGTGGTGTGGCCAAGGGGCCGGAAACAACTGCAAGTTACTATTGGGAAGGAAACTAGCCTGAGGAGGAAGCCTCAGTAACTCAGCTCAAGACCTGATCGAACTCAAACTGTTTGTGAAGCCAGACCTACCTTCCATTCTGTGAACCAAGGATTGCTTTCTGTGTGCATGCATAGACATGCACGCTTGTGTGTGTGTGTGTGTGTGTGTGTGTGTGTGTGTGTGTGTATTGGGCAGAGTTCAACTTTGGGTGTTGTTCCTGAAAAGCTGTTCACTTTGGAGGATTTTTTTAATTTTTTAAATTCCTGGTTCACCTGGAACTCACAAAGATTCACCTGCCCCTGCCTCCTGAGTGCCAGCCTTTTAAAAACATTTAAATGTTTTATTTATTTATTTATTTGGGCGGGGACAGGAACAGGGGAACAGAGAATAGTGCTCAAGTGGAGATCAGAAAACAACTTCCAGGAGTTGGTTCTCTCCTTCTTATGGGTCCCAGGAATTGAACTCAGGTTGTCAGACTTGGAAGGCAAGCACCCACTGAGCCATCTAGCCTGCCGCATCTGTGTTTTGAAACAAGATCTCTTGGCCTGGAACTCACCAAGTAGGCTAGGCTGGCTCGCCAATGCACTTCTGAAATCCTCCTGCTCCATCTCCCCAATGCTGGGATTATAAGCATGCACCCCCATGTCCAGCTTTTACATGTGTTCTGGGGATGGAACTCAGGTCTCAGGTCTTCAAGCTCCCAAGATAAGCACTTTACCAACCAAACTGTCTTCCCAGTCCTGGAATTTGCTTTCTTATTTAAGCCAGTTGACTTGGGTTTCTCATGGCAGCAGCTAGACATTCCAGCAGATACACAGAATTATCGCTGCCAGTCCAGGCAGTGAGCTAGTAGCCCAGCAGTGAAAGCCCAGAACAGAAAGCCCAGCAGTGGTGCCATGGGTGTGCCCACTACTGTCTTTTAAGGAAGAAATGAGACTGGCTCCCACAGATCCCCAGGCTCTCAGCACTCTCCAGGTGGTGGGCATGACCTGATTTGGCTCCCGAAAGCCTGCACATTACCTGGGGTGTCTTCTTCAGCTGGCTCTCCATGGCCCCTGATATTTGGTTCAGCCAGTTGATCACACATTGCTCCAAGGCCTCAATCATGTCAGGGTCAGCAGCCAGCTCAGACACCTCTCCTTCCACACTGATGCTGGGCATCTCCAACTTGATCTCACCTGGTGGAGGGAAAACAGCCAGTCAGCCACTAGCCCAGGAAAAATCCATGATGTTCAAGGTCATCAGCCAGCTCTTCCCTTCCATAGCTGCACATTCAGGTCAGCTAGCTTGCCTCCTCATATCTCATTCCTTTCATAAGAATGTGATTTAAAAAAAAAAAAAGTAAAAAAAGGGCCAGGCGTGGTGGCACACGCCTTTAATCCCAGCACTTGGGAGGCAGAGGCAAGCGGATCTCTGTGAGTTTGAGGCCAGCCTGGTCTACACAGTGAGTTCCAGGACAGCTGGTGCTACAGGGAGATCCTGTCTCAAAAAGACCAAAAAAAAAAAAAAAAACAACCAAACAAAGAACCCTAGATTGTTAGTTCAGTTCAGTTTATATGATTGGTTAAGTTCCATCAAAATGATATTAAGATGTTCCTTTTTTTTTTGGTCTTTTTGAGACAGCATCTCCCTGTAGCTCCAGCTGTCCTGGAACTCACTGTGTAGACCAGGCTGGCCTTGAACTCACAGAGATCTGCCTGCCTCTGCCTCCCGAGTGCTGGGATTAAAGGTGTGTGCCACCACACCCAGCTATAAGATGTTCCTTAACTGACAACAGAATGAGTTCAATTTTTAAAACTTAACATACAACTTTTAACAGACAGTAGCTGTTTAAGAAAACCTTGGGACACCAGGTGAGGTGGCACGGGCCTTTAATCCTAGCCCTCAGAAGGCAGAGGCAGGCAGATCTCTGGGAGATCCAGGCTAGCCTGGTCCACATAGTGAGTTCCAGGCAGCCTAGGACTAGGGCAACTCTGTCAAAAAAAAAAAAAAAAAAAAGAGCGGGGGAGGGGAGGGGAAGGAGGGGAAGGGAGGGGAGGAGAGGAGAGAAGAGAAGTGGAGAAAAATAGACTAGAGAGATGGCTCAGCCGTTAAGGGCATTGGCTGCTCTCCCAGAGGACCTGGGTTCAGTTCCCATCTCCACCTGGCAGCTAACAACTGTCTGTAACTCAAATTCCAGGGAGTCCAACACCCTATGGAGTCCAACACCCTATTCTGGCCTCTGAGGACATTGCACAGATGCATTTATATATATGCAGGTTAAACATTCATACTTGTAAAATAAAAATAAATCATTTTTTTTAGAAAAAGAAAAAAAAGAAAACCCCCAGCATGAAGAAAATGTGAAGATAAAAAGAAAAAAATTGTCCATAGAAGAAGCTGAGATAATGTAAATGGGGAAATATTTTTTAATCTTATTTGCCTCAGAGGTTGGAGAGACACTATGGTATCCAGCAAACAAGAACAGTATGCTATGATAAAAGCAGAGTCAGAATGAGAGATCTTAGAACTAAACATAGACTAACAGATGAGAACAGCTCTAGGTGGGGAAGATTAACCAGGAGGAACACTTCAGGAAAGTAAAAATGCCAGGGGCTGGGGACATGGCTCAGTGGATAAAGTGCTTACTACACAAGCATGCAGACCTGAGTTTAAATCCCCAGAACCTGGGTGTGGTGGCACACAGCTGTGATTCCAGCACTGGAGAGGTGGAACCAGTCTCAACCAGAGAACTCCAGGTCAAGTGAGAGACAACGCTTCTTTTTTAAATTTTATTTATCATTTTTAATTTATGTGTATGAGTGTATTGCCTGCATGTATATAAGTGCACCCATGTCATGCAATATCCCTGGAGGTCAGAAAAAGAAGGCGTCGGATGCCCTGAAACTGGAGTTACAGACAGCTGTTAGCCACCATGTGGGTGCTGGGAATTGAACCTGGGTCCTCTGCAAGATCAGTCGGTGCTCTTAACTGCTGAGCCATCTCTCCAGCCCCAAGAGACAATGTTTCAAAAAAAGAAAGGTGGATGATGCCTGAGGAACAAGAACTGAGGTTGTGCTAGGATACCAACACATGCATACAGGTACACACACAGAAGAAGAAAAGAGTTCGTTTTCTTAGAATAACAATCCCACATTACTAGCCTTTCTGTCACTTTTTCACTGTTCAGGACCCTAAAACATGACCATCCACTGTGACTCCCCTTCCTCACTCTCTCTGATCTCTATACCTGCTTTCTGTTACCCCTGGCTCTGGGACTTGGGAGGGCCACCACCCCATCCAATGACAGTGGGGTAGCTGAGTTCCACAGCAGGGGCTGTGTGATGCAGCTTTCAGATGAGGCCTAATGCCACGTCCTCCAGGAAACCCCCTGTGGCTGCTCCATTTCAGTTCTGTCTCCCTCTCCTAAAGGCCTTACCACCTTTTTGAGCTCCATAGTCTGCTTCAGTGGAGAGTACACAGGGTTCTACAACCTTTACAAGCAGAGACTCTGTCACTCTTTATTTCTTTTTTTTTTTTTCTTTCTTTTTTTTTTTTTTTTTTTTTTTTTTTTTTTTGGTCTTTTTGAGACAGGGTCTCCCTGTAGCCCCAGCTGTCCTGGAACTCACTATGTAGACCAGGTGGCCTCGAACTCACAAAGATCCACCTGCCTCTGCCTCCCAAGTGCTGGGATTAAAGGCGTGCGCTGGCTCTTTTTTTCTATAATGAACAACCAATGCTGTTCACCTAGAGACCATGCAAACAAGGATCACTGGGCTGGCAACGAGACTCGGATGGTAGAGTGCTTGCTAAATATGCAGGTGGCTCAGGGTTCCATCCCCAGCATCACACAAACTGGGTGTGGTGGCATGTGCCTGTGATTGAAGCTCTTGGGAAGTAGAGGCAGGAGGATCAGAAATTGAAAGTCTTGGGTACATAGCTAGTTTGAAACCAGCCTGGGCTACATAAGACCCTGTCTTAAAAACAGCCAATAACAGTTATCATAAATGAAAACAAACACAAATGGCCACCTTAAACTTTCATATTGCCTTTTTAGAATGAATTAGTCACTCTTCATGACAGGAATGAAACAGAACAGACCTTCAAGCTGCTGCATCGTCCTTTGAATGTTGTTCGCAAATTTCTGAAGGTTCATTAAGAATTCGTCACGTATTAACTGGACGCTGTGGTATTCCACTGTGTCCCCAGGCATGATTGGCATCTCCAAGTCATAATGGGAAAACTCCTGGCTTTTTGTAGACATAGTTCCCAGCCCCGAGTCTGTCTTGTGCTGGTTGTAGGACAGCGCAGGCATGAAAACCTGAAAAGACCATTTGTGTATTTAAACTGTCCCTGACCTCCAATGGTCTGTTAAATTGACAGATATACAGATATGTACATCTGTAATCCCAGCACTCTGGAGACTGAAACAAGGCCAGCCTGGGCTACATAACAAGACCTCACTTCAAAAAAAAAAAAAAAAGAAGAAAAATAATTTTATACAATAATTTTTTTTTGGTGTTTTTGAGACAGGGTCTCCCTGTAGCCCCAGCTGCCCTGGAACTCACTATGTAGACCAGGCTGGCCTTGAACTCACAGAGATTCACCTGCCTCTGCCTCCCAAGTGCTGGGATTAAAGTCATGTGCCACCATGCCCGGCAATACAATAAATTTTAAAAGCAACAAATGAGTTGTTGGTTACTTAACATGTGTGACTAATTAGGATTGATTGTTTTATTTTGGAAGTTATTTAAATTGTTTTAAATATTTTATTTGTTGTTTTTATGTGTATGCATGTATTGCCTGCATGTATGTAAGTGTACCTGTGTCATGCAGTGCCTGAGAAGGACAGAAGAGGCCATCAGATCCCCTGGAACTGGAGTTAGAGACAGCTGTTAGCTGCCATGTGGGTGCTGGGATTCAAACCCCGGTTTTCTGCAAGAACAGCCAGTGTTCTTAATCGCTGAGCCTTCTCTCCAGCCCCTAAATTTTTAAAAATTTATTTATAGTTTGTGTATGAGTATTTTGCCTGCATATATGTAAGTGCACCCATGTCACACAATGCCTGTGGAAGCCAGAAGAGGATGTCATAGCCCCTAGAACTGGAATTATGGATGGTTGTTAGCTACCACATGGGTGCCTGCAACTGAGCCCAGGTCCTCTGCAAGAGCAGCCAGTGCTCTTAACCACTGAACCATCTCTCCAGCCCCTGATGTTATTTTAAGCTTGATTGGCTTAAGCTGTCAGTGTCTGAGTTCTCAGATATCACAAGATAAAAGATGTCATCCAGGGGCCTGGTGTGGAGGCTTACATCTGCAAGCCCAGCATTTGAGGGGCACAAGCAGGAAGAGCCACATGAATTAGAGGCTAGCCTGGGCTACAAAGTGAGTCCCAAGCCAACCGAGGATATAGAGTGAGACCCTGTATCAAAGCAAACAAAAAGATGTTGCCAAAGAACTGGAGCATAGCAGAAATGTCAGGCTGTGACTGTTCACACCTCCACCTCTACCCACCCTTCTTTGGAGGCAGGGGACTCTTCCACCTCTGACAGCACACAACCCTCTGCCTATCTGTCTATGTGACAAACAAAGCAAACAGCCACCATCCTGAAAATGCCAAGATCTCTGCAGGGTCCACAGTTACCTGGCAGATGACATCCCTCAGGAAGCAGAGCACATGTACATTTATGATCCCATACTCCATGGTTTCTGGCATAATCTCCATTGCTTCCTTCATGTCACTGGCTTCAGAGACAGCCTCTAAATATGAACAGACTCAGGGCATCAGGGCATGGGGGACATTCTCAGATGTCCCCAGAATCTCCCCCTTCTAGATGCTGGATGTTCTGGTCATGTAATCTGAAGACCTGCTGGCTGGATCTAAGTGAGCCCTGGGCTGGGAGACCCCAAAATAACCCACATTGAACTTTTTAAAGTGTAAGAACTTTTTAAAGACTGTGGGGCTTTTAAAGTTGTACTGCATTTTACATTATGTATTTGTATGCATTACATTATGTATTTGTGTGTCAAGTTGAAAAGGGGTGGAGTGTTCTCGTCAGATTTAGCTGTCAACTTGACACAGCCTAGCGTCAACTGAGAAGGGAGTCTCCATTGAGGAATTTCCCAGATCAGATTAGCATGTTTGGGGGAGGGGTCTTGATTTTGTTTTTTTTTGTTGTTGTTTTTTTTTTTTTTTGGCTTTTTGAGACAGGGTCTCCCTGTAGCCCCAGCTGTCCTGGAACTCACTATGTAGACTAGGCTGGCCTTGAACTCACAGAGATCCACCTGCCTCTGCCTCCCAAGTGCTGGGACTACAGGCGTGCGCCACCACGCCTGGCTGATTGTTAATTGATATAGGAGGGAAGTTAATTGATATAATGTGAGCAGCACTATTCCTTAGGCAAATGGTTCTGGGCTGTATAAGAAAGCTAGCTAAGCATGAGCCAGAGAGGAAGCCAGGAAGCAGCCTTCTTCTCTGGCTTCTGCTTCAAGTTCCAACTTGAGTTCCTGCCCTGACTTTCCTCAATGACAGATTGTGACCTAGAAGGGTAAACTAGACAAATACTTTCCTCCCCTAAATTACTCTTGGTCATTGTATCTGTCACAGCAACAGAGATGACACTAGAACAGAATTGGTGCACCCTCGTTATGGTTTACATCCGTGGTGCATAAGTCCTGTGTATCCCAGCTTACAAGTCTGGAGATCCAAAGCTGGGTGAGGGCAGATGTGGATCATCTTTGGCACTTTGAGCCAGGTATTTGTATGCTGCAAGCAAAATCTGAGATGGAAGCTAAGTCCTCAGCGTGATGGCATCTGGATGTGGTGCTGGGGTGAGCTGATAGGGTTGTAAGGGTGGGGCTTCGGTCAATAGTTAGTGCCCTTAAAAGGCAGCCAGAGAGAGCAGGCTTCTCTCTCAGCTCTCCCCTATGCAGAGCTGCTTGGACTGGCAGCTACCACATCTGTGAGCAATAAAGGCCTACTGTCTCAGACACCCAGGCTGTAGGGCTTTGACATAGCCACCAAACTGGCTTAGGCATCTTTGTTGCCTGCTTCCCCACTTACCCAGTCCCATAAGGCCTATAGAGGGATGAGGCTACTTCAAACACAGGTTTCCAAGGTGAGCGTGGTGGTATACACCTTTAGCCCCAGCACTCCAGAGGCAGAGGCAGATGGATCTCTGTGTAAATCAAGGCCTACCTGGTCTAGGTAGTTCCAGGCCACCCAGGTAAGACCATATCTCAAAAAACCACAACAAAAAACAAGTTTCCTAACTGCCTACTCCTCAGACAGGGTTTTATTTGACATGCATTTATTTGGCACAACCAAAGATCAGTCATCATGGGAGACAATGTGAAGGTGGCATGAACTCCCCTTCCCATCTCACCCCCTAGTTGACAAAAGCAATGACATCATAGGCTTCCCTTGCACACCCTCTCCCATGTCTATGTAGACATGGGTTATCTCTAGTGTATTTCTTTATATAGAACACTTCTTACTTGAAGTGATTTTACTTTTTGTTTGTTTTAAAAATTATTTAATTTTATGTGTATGAGTGTATTGCCTGCATGTATGTGAGTGCACCGTGTCGTGCAATGCCACAGAGGTCAGAAGAGGGCATCGGATTCCCCTGGAACTGGAGTTAAGGACAGTTCGTAGCCATCATATGGGTGCTGGAAATCCAACCCAGGTCCTCTGCAGGAGCAGAGGTTGTTAGCTGACATGTAGGTGCTGGAACCAAACCCAAGTTCTCTGTAAAAGCAGTTAGTGTTCTGAGCCATCTCTCCAGTCCCGTTTTTGGGGTTTTTTTGGGTTTTTTTACTATTTTATTATTTTTATTTTATATGTATGAGTGTATTGCCTGCATGTATGTGAGTGCACCCATGTCATGCAATGCCTTGGAGGTCAGAAGAGGGCTTCGGATTCCCCTGGAACTGGAGTTAAGGACGGTTTGTAGCCGCCATATGGGTGCTGGGAATCGAACCCAGGTCCTCTGCAAGAGCAGTCAGTGCTATTAACCACTGAGCCATCTCTCCAGCCCTAATTTTTGTTTTTTTAAAGATTTATTTATTTATGTGTATACAATACGCATACACAGAGGACCACAGATTGGTTCCCAGAACCTACAAGGGACAATTCACAATTTCCTATAACTCCAACTCCAGGGGATCTGATGCCCTCTTCTAGCCTCTGTGAGTACCTGTAAATAAATGCTTCATACACACATACACTTAAATAAAAAGAATAAATTGAACAAATAAATAATAAAAATAACAAAATAAAGACCATGTTTTTGATGTTGCTGTTTTGTCTTTTGGTTTGATTGAGAGATCCTGAATCAGTGAAGATCAATCAATCAAGATGACTCCCAACATCAAGTCTCCACATGCACAAACACACACTCACATGTGCAGCCATATACATGCAAACATGCATGCATATGCATGCACATTACACACAAGAAATGGAAAAAGGAAAAAGAACATCATAATGTATATGTTTAACACTACACACCCACACCACCAGAAAGGTACCTTTTGTATTTCTGAGGAAAAACACCACATTCTGGTCCAGAAATTCCTCAGGAAGGGGGTTGCAGCTCACTCGCAGGTCCAGTCTGTTCACAATGCGCTTCACAAGCCTCTGAAACAAGACTCTTCTGTGCTGACAGAGCCTCACAGCCCAGCCATTCTCTTCAGTGTGAGCATCTTATTCCTCACAATGCAGCCACACACAGTGGCCATAGACAGGTTAATGCACACGCAGACCCCAGACCCTGAGCCTGCATCTACTCTAGTCCCCACCACCTGATTAACAGACCCGGGAAAGGTCAAGAGGGAGCTTCAAGGGGCTGCCCATTGCAGAGCCCCAGCTTACTCTGAATGTTTAATTTTTTTGCTATTTCAGGAGCTGGGGGGGGGTATTCTTTTATTTTTCCTTGTGTGTGTATGTGTGTGGTATATGTATATGTTCTTGGGGTAGGGGTGCCCATGTGTATGTGCATATGTCCAGAGACCAGAGGTTGCTGTTTGAATGTTTTCCTCAGTCAGTCTTCATTTATTTTTTTATGTTTTTAAATTTTGTTATTTATTTTTTATGTGTATGAGTGTTTTGTCTGTATGTATGTAAGTGCACCACATGTGTGCAATGCCTTCAGAGGCCAGAAGAGAGTGTTGGATCCCCTGGAACTGAAGTTATAGATGGCTGTTAGCCACCATGTGGGTGCTGGGAACTGAACCTGGGTCCTCTGCAAGAGCAGCCAGTGCTCTTAACTGATGAGCTACCTCTCCAGCCCCCTTACCACCTTGTTTTTTGAGACAGGATCTCTCACTGAACCTGAAGGTCACTGGTTAAGCTAGACTAGCTAAACAGCAAGTCCAGACTCACCTTGAACTCTTGATTCTCCGGCCTCCACTTCCCAAATATATGATGTATAGGCCAGGCTGCATGCTTATATCCCCACTTTAAGAGCCACCCTTGGGACATGTAGAGGGAAAGGACTCACTGTAAAGGCCTGGGGTGATGACTTCTAAGCTGTTGCCATGTCCTCCTGCCACTGTGTCTTTGTGTAGGTGGGGATATGGCCCTGCAGAGCAGTTCTAGCTAACACTGTGATTCATGGTGAAGCCTGCTTCAGTTCTCCCGGACCCCAGCTACACTTTATCAGACTGACCTCTGAGGTGGGCCAGAGACCAAGGGGAGCTGAGTAACCCCAGCCAGCCATGTGGACATTCTGTGACTGATCCACAAGGAAAGCTGTAGACATTGAGTGAGCATTGCTGACTTGAAGGGCATGTTGTCACCCAGGGTTTCAGGAAGATGAAACTCCACTGTGCAGGAGCTGTTTGATCCAGTCTTACCCTCTACATCCACCTTCCCCTGGTTTTCATCTTTCTTTTCCTTTCCCTTCCTTTTTCCTCTCCTCTTCTCTCCCTGGCCTTCTCTCTCTTTCCCTCTCCACCTGGAACTCACTATGCAGACTAGGCTGGCTTTGAACTCACAGAGTTCTGCCTTCCAGGTACTGGAATTAAAGGTATGTACCACCACACTTGGCTCCCTTCTTTCTCTATAATCTGCAGCTCCTAATGAGGTTTCCTAGGCCCTGTGAATCCCCCAGTTACTGGTCCTAGAAATCTTAGAAATATCAACATAGGATTCTAGAATCCCCACTTCTTACAATGTGTCCCTTCAATGCACTGTGTCATTCATCCAGTCTTATGAGAGGGTCTCTGAGCCCCATCACTTCACCAATAACAACAGAGAACTGGGCCCACCTTGCCATAGGGTCTGTCTGAGTTCTCTCTGTTCACGTCGTCATCATCAATGCCAAACACAGAGGGAGTTTTGGAATTGTTTCTTGACTTCACAGTCTTCACTACAAAACATGATTCAATATGTAAGACAAGATGGCCAGAAACCTGGGTTTCCCGCCATCCAGACCAGCCTGCCTGTGGTACAACAGCAGGGATTCTCAATAAGGTGAGCACTCACACACATGTGTGTCAGCCACAGTGCCAAGCATGTGATTTCCTCTAAGATTTTTACTTTAAACAAAGTACTTCATTTTTTTCAAAATATTTTATTATTTTTATTTTATGTGTATGAGTGTTTGCCTACATGTAGATAGGTGTATCTGTGTCGTGCAGTGCCTGCAGAGATCAGAAGAGGGTGTCAGATCCTCTGGAACTGGAGTTATAATGGTTGTTAGCCACCATGTGAGTGCTGGGAATTAAACCCAGGTCCTCTGGAAGAGCAGCCAATGCTCTTAACCGCTGAGCCATCTCTCCAGTCCCACTTTAAATGAAGTTTATAATGAAGATGAGAATCAGTGGGCTGGGGACATAGCTCAGCAGTAGACACTTGCCCAGCATGTGCTTGGCTCTGGGATCCAGTCCCAGCTCTGTAAAACAAACAACCAGTCATGGAAGGCACACCTGTAATCCCAGTACTAGGCAGGTGGAGGCAGGCAGATCAAGAGTTCAAGGTCATCCTTGGCTACACAGAGACTCCAAGGCCAGCCTGGGCTGCATGAGATTGTCTCATAGATAACTAGGCAGCATAACAGAGAGAATGTTGAGAATGCCGATGTGTCCATATGTTGCTGACATGTCCATATCTTGACAACATGTCCATATGTGCCCTTTTTTTTTTTTTTACCATGAGGCTCAAAATCTATGAGAGACAAAAAGTATCGTTTCAAGACAAAACAAGAAGGGGCTAGAGAGATGGCTCAGTGATTAAGGACACTTGCTGTTCTTCCAGAGGACCTGGGTTTGATTCTTAGCACCCACATGGCAGCTAACAACCATCTAAAATTCCAGTTCAAAGGGATCCAACACCTTTCTCTGACCTCTGTGGTCATTGCATGACATGGGTGCACTTAAACACCTGCAGGAAATACACTTGTATACATCAAAATAAAAATAATAAAGTATTTAAAAAAGAAAAAACTAAGAAAAAGGGGGGCAGGGAAGAAGAAGAAAAAAGAAAGAAAACAAGGAGCTGGGCATAGTGCCATACGCCTTTGATCCCAGTACTCCGGAGGAAGAGACAGGTGGATTTCTGTGAGTTCCAGGCCATACTGGTACAAATAGCAAGTTCTAGGCTGGCCAAGACTACATAGTAAGACCCTGACTTTAAACAAAAAAAAAAAAAAAAAAAAAAAAAAAAAAAAAAAAGAAAAGAAAAGAAAAAGGAAACAAGGGCTGGATAGACAGCTCAGCAGTTAAGAGCACTTGCTGTGCTTGCAGAGGACCTGAGCTCTCTTCCCGGCACCCACATTGGGCAGCTTACAACTACTTGTAACTCCAGCTCCAGGGGATCTGATGCCCTTTTCTGACCTCTATGGACATTGCACAATACTGGTACACTTACATACATGCAAGGCAATACATGCATACACATAAAATAGAAAACATAATTTTAATGAAAATTTAAATGAAAAGCAACCAAAACACTGTCTCTCTGCCAAATCCATCGTGACCCAGGTGGGCTAGGAACCCTCAGAGGGTTGGAGACTCAGCCAGGAGAGTTCCAGTAGGTCTGGTGACCTCATAGAAAGCACAGAATTCACTCTAGCTTTTGAAAGCTTTTTTTTTTTTTGTCTTTTTGAGACAGGGTCTCCTTGTAGCCCCAGCTGTCCTGGAATTCACTATGTAGACCAGGCTGGCCTTGAACTCACAGAGATCCCCCTGCCTCCCAAGTGCTGGGATTAAAGGCTTGAAAGCTTTTGAAGGCACTGCGCATTTGATGTGGCCTTAGAAGCAGCTCAGCATGGGGCCTGGAAATCTCCCTGCTATTGATCTCCTTGTCCAGGGAACAGAACAGAGATCTCTACTCTCAGATCTGGAAGGTTGAGTGGAAGCATGGCTAAGCCTCCCAGTACCCTGGCTGGCAGAGGAGATAGCAGTACCAGCACAGGGCAGAAGTGACCTACTGCCAAACACACATTCGGGAAAAGTGTTTAGTGTCACTTAGAAGTGGTTAATGCTGGGCAGAGAAGGCTCAGTTGATAAAGTGTTTGCAGTGCAAGCATGAGGTCCTGAGTTCAATTCCAGAACTGTCACGGTTGGCTTCAGTTGTCAATCTGACACACCTAGGAAGAGGGAATCTCAACTGCAGAATTTTCTCTATCAGACTGGCCCATGAGCATGTCTGTGAGGCTTTTTCTTGATTTTTGAGTGACATGGGAGGGCCCAGCACACTGTGGGTGGAGCCACTGGGCAGGTAGGTCTGTTGTATAAGAAAGCAGGCTGAGCACAGGCCAGAGGAGCAAGCTAGAAATCAGTGCTCCTCTGTAGTCTCTGTGTCAGCTCCTACCTTGAGATCCTACCTTGGTTCCCTCACAGATGGATTGTGACATGGCAGTATAACCTGAATAAACCCTTTCTTCCCCAAGTTGGTTTAGATCAGTTTTTTTGTTTTTTTGTTTTTGTTTTTTTGTCTTTTTGAAGCAGGGTCTCCCTGTAGCCCCAGCTGTCCTGGAACTCACTATGTAGACCAGGCTGGCCTTGAACTCACAGGGATCCACCTGCCTCTGCCTCACAAGTGCTGGGACTACAGGCGTGCACCACCACGCCCGGCTCAGTTTTTATCACAGCAACAAAAAGCTAACTGGAACAAGAACCCTTGTAAAATAGTCATGTATGGTGGCAAACACTTTTAATCCCAACACTAGGAAGGCAGAGACAGGAGAATCCCTAAGGCTCATCAGTCAACCAGCCTAGCCTAATCCATGAGCTGGAGGCCAGTAAAAGACCCTGTCTCAAAAAAACAAAATGGAGGTCAGGCGTGGTGGCTCACACCTTTAATCCCAGCATTTGGGAGGCAAAGGCAAGTGGATCTTTGTGAGTTCAGGTCTATGTAAGGAGTTCCAGGCCAGTTGAGGCTTCAGAGAAATCCTGTCTCAAAAAGACAAAAAAAAAAAAAAAAAAAAA